CTTCCAGTCGGGGCCTTGACCCAAGGAGGCCAAAATAAGGAGCGAGGCCCCTTTTGTTTCTCTAAGTTAAACTTCGATTCCCGATCGAAGACATAAGGAAAACCTGAGGCAAGCTGCGAAACACTTAAGGAACGCGGAGCCCCTCCCCAACGAAAAGGGTTCCTTCTTCGGGGCCCCGACTGTATGCTAGGTTGCCCTCAGGACCCGCTTCCCTCATGCTACGAACTCCGCGCGGACCTCCGAACATGTTGGTTTGTGCCACTGCTTGTGCCCCGCAGGATGTCGCGGGATCTTACCGGCGCCGCCTTTGGGATCGCGGCTCTCTTCGGCTCCCACCCCGCGGGGCCCCGTGGCCCTCAAAAAGCGACTCGGGTCGGCGTCACCCCTACATACTCGTACCTTTTGTCCGTGCCCCCCCTCTCGTGGGCCGACGCGCGCGCCGAGAAGTCTTCCAGTACGTGCTCTGTGGCGGGCGCGTCCTGGCCGCACCGCTCGGGAAACGATACGCTACAGGATGGCTGTACGAAGTGTTCAGGTCGGCACAAAGCCTCCAAGGAGGACACACAGTACCAGTACGTCCTTCTGCTCCCCATTGAGAGGGGCAGCTGGCCCCTGGAAATCCTCCTCCTCCTCCTCGTCCTCCTCCTTCTTAAGCTGCGGTCACTCCTCCTCCTCCTCCTCCGCCTCCTCCTCCGCCCTCTCCCTCCTCCTCCTCCTCCTCCTCCTCCATCCTCCTCCATCCTCCTCCTCAGCCTCCCTCCTCCCTCCTCCCGCCTCCTCCTCCCCCTCCTCCTCCTCCTCCTCCTCCGCCTCGGCTCCTCTGCTCCTCTGCTCCTCCCCCCTCCCCCTCCTCCTCCCCCTCCTCCTCCTCCTTCCTCCTCCTCCTCCCTCCTCCCTCCTCCCGCCCCGTCGTCGCCGCAGTGCCCCGAAAACGTCGGCCCGCCCGCGGTCGAGACCTCGGGGGGTCCACGTCGTGAGCAGAAGCACGAGGCCGACGACTGGCCAAGAGGGACGATGGCCAATTCCACCTCCTCCTCCCCCCGAGTGCGTGTCACTGCTGTTGCGGCTGAGGCTTCTCAGCCTGGGCGGGCCACTGCTGGCCGCGGAAGGTGGCTTGAAGTGCCCGACACGGGGTCTTGAGGCATAGTGCCCTCAAGCATCAAAAGAATATACTGGGGCTCTCTGGGGAGGGACGGTGGCCAAGATCGGCGCCGACGTTCCCAAAGATCCAACGTACTGAAAAGTTCAAGACGGAGGTTTTTCTGATTTTTGGGCCTCTGGGGGCCCTCGCCGGGCCCCGGGACCGTCAGAAAACGACTCAGGAGTAAAAACCTGTCCTGGGGAATGGGTCGGGACTTGTGGGGACCCCGCATTGAAAAAATCACGACATCGGATCTCTGAGTTTCCGCGTGCAGTTCGGGGCTCAAGAGATGGGGTCCAATGCAAGCGAGGGCAACTCAGCAGGATCTTGCAGGATCCTGCAGGGCCAGGGGTGCGCTGACCCAGGTTTGGGTGCAGGACCCTGCAGGATGCTGCAGGATCCTGCAAGGCCCGACTGACCCAGGTGTTGATTGACCCGGGTCAGTGAGTCCCCGATCAGTCTTGTCGACTACACGCGTAAGAGTGACCTTTCGCCGGAGTGACCTTTGGTGCGGGCCCATTGGGCCCCTCTGATCGCCGCATGCGCGCTTGGGTTTGGCCCCCTCGCGCCCCCTAAAAGCAGCGCACCAGAGGCCAGTCTTACCCAGGGTCGCTCTTGCGTGTAGCCGATCTTGGTCGTGGTCCTTGCATGTTCTTTCCCTCCGTCCACGTGGGTGGCGCGGCGTCGACCGCGCACTGCGTCGGTGCCGGAATTCCAAGGCGCGGCCCTCCCGTGGGCGCCCTTCTAGATCGGCTCGTGCAGCTGATCACCAGGGAGCTAGAGCGCGCACGACGCTGACGGCCGGGAAGAGAGCGAGGAATCACGAGGCTGACATGTTTTCCGCGGCGGAAGGCGGCGGAAGACCCGCAGAAGCTGGCGGAAGTAAAACGGGGGCGGCTCCGCCCGCCCCAGACATCGGGCGTCTCGAAAAAATCGAGACGGAGGTTCTTCGTGATTTTCGGCCTCCTGGGGCCCTCGCTGGGCCTCGGGACCGTTCAACAATGATTCGGGATGAAAACCGGTCCTGGGGAAGCGGTTGGGAGGTCGGGGGCCCGTGCCTCGAAAAAAACATCGAGGCGTCGGATGCTTGGGCCAGAAGGCGGCAGAAGGCCCGTGGAGGGCGGCGAAAGCAGAGGATCACCACCCACCAAACCACCCCAACCCAACCCGAAGGCTCAGATTTACCCTCGATTTCCAGTGGGGGGGGGTTGGGAAACATGGAAAAAACACATGTGGAACCCTTGCCCCCCCCAACCCGAAATTCGGGTCTTCGGGTTGGGTTGGGGTGGTCTGGTAGGTAGGCAGAGGAGACGGCCCCCCAAAAGATGTCGAAGCTGTTGGCCGCAGGGTCTCCGGAGCTCGCCCCTCCGGCCTCCTGCTGCTGCTCCAGCGCGCTCCCGGAGCCTTTCCCGGAGCGCTCCGAGCAGGGACGGCCCCACGGCGTCCGGCGCACCCTCCCGAATTCCGCCAGCTCTCGGGGCTCCCCGAGGCGTCCGGACCGGACTCTGCAGTCAGGCCGCATATTGGCAGGGATGGGCAAGCTTCCCCAGGGGTACCCTTGCATCCCCCTTGGCCTCCTCGGTCCATCCCTGGCCACTGTCGTGGGCCGCGCCCCGCGCCAGAGGCTTCGACGCGGCCGTCTCAGGCCCTTTGCATCCTTGCCGTGCATCCTTATGGTACGGCTCGACTGCAACCCGCTCCTGCCTCTCTTTTTGGCGTGGTCGTGTGCTCTCCAGCGCCATGGCACCACGCTGGTGTTAAGTCGGGCCTGTCCCTCTACAGGGCACCAGTGTTAAGTCGGGCCTGTCCCTCTACAGGAGGAGTAGTCAAAAATAGCTAAAAGATACCCCAGCGACGATGTTTTGAGCATTGTTGGGCATTCGTGACCATTTTTTGTGTGTATGCTTACAAACATTATATATATATATATATATATATATATATATATACATCTCTCTCTCTCTATATATATATATATATATATATATAGGTATCGTCCAAAATCCGCCTGTAGGGGGACATGCCCGACCTAACACCAGTGTGGCCGCGGGCGCTGGCCGCCCGCTCGCCGCAGCAGCGCATGCGTGCCCAGCCCGCGCGGCCTCCGCCTGCGCTGCACGCGCGGGCCCGGCCACGGGTGTGCGCGGCCGGGCGCGGCTGTGTACGCTCGGGCTGCTCTCGGCCACGTGCAGAGGGGGGCGGGGGGAGGGGGGAGGGCTTCCTAGAAGCACCCCTGCGTCTTCGAAGTCGCGGGCCTCCTCTCTGGATGCGCCTGTGTGCGCTCCGGCTGTGTGCGCTCCGGCTGCTCTCGGCCGCGCGCAGACCCAGAGATCCAACGCATTGAAAAAATCAAGACGGAGGTTTTTCGCGGTTTTTCGCCTCTCGGGGCCTGCGCCGGGCCCTGGGACCGCCAAAGAACGACTCAGGATGAAAAGCCGGTCCTGGGGAGTGGGTCGGGACTTCTGGAGATCCCGTATTGAAAAAAACACGACGTCGGATCTCTGGGGAGGGGGGCGGGGGGAGGGGGGAGGGCTTCCCAGAAGCATCCCTGCGTCTTCGAAGGCGCGGGCCTCCTCTCTAGATGCAAGGCCGGCGCCTTCTGAGGAGCAGCCTCCTCCTGGGAAGCCCTCCTCTCCCCCCCCCCGCGAACCCCCTGGTCTTGGCCTCGCTCGGACGTGTGCATGTTTCCTTCGGCGAGGGCCATCGAGGAGCATCCTTGATCATGTGGCGAAGAGCCGCGCACGAAACCGAACAAAAACGCACGGAATGAGTGGACGTCCGAGCGATGGCCAGTCGCGCGCGCCGCCGAGCTCTCGGGATCGTCCGCTCCTGCCGCCAGGCTGAGCCTCGGCGGCGAGTCCAGGGCGGAGGGGCGAGGGGGCGGGCCTTCTCGGAAGGACCACGACCGCGACCACGACCACGACCACGACCACGACCACGACGACGACGACGACGACGACGACGACGACGACGACGACGACGACGACGACGACGACGACGGATGACGACGACGACGACGACGACGACGGACCACGAGGACGACGGACGAAGACTACGACGAAGACGACGATGACGACGACGACGACGACGACGACGACGACGATGGATGACGACGATGACGACGACGACGACGACGACGACGAAAGGCTTTCCGCCTTCTGAGAAGCTTTCTGAGCTGGTTTCCGAAGCCTCAGCGGACCTCTCAGAAGGCGCGAGGACCTCGGAGAAGTCCCGCCTCCTCCTGGGGAGGCCCGCCCTTTCGCACTTCCCCCCTGGTGGCGCCGCCAACCCTTGGAAGTGTTCGATCATGCCACCTGTTCCAAGCTGGAAGGAAGCCACTTCATTACCAGCCTGGAACATATCCCTATCTCTATGCATCTCCTCATCACGATGCCAATCTTAGGGATTCCCCTGTTTTTTGAGGGCGAATCCCTCAGATTGTCATCGCCTCTTGGCGTGTCAATCTTAGGCATAGGGATAAGTTCGAGGCTGGTAGCTCTATAGACACAAACCTGCGGAGCTCTGCGCGGATGCCTTGGGTCGGCGCTGGCCACCACCTGGCGGTGCCTCCGAAGCCGCCCCAGGTGCGCTTCCCTCGCCGGGGGTGGGGGGGGCCAGCGCCGATCCCAGAAGTCTGCGCGGACCGCCGAAGGTTCCCGTTTATGCAGTGCCTTCTTCTCCTATTCTCAAACGCGACCGTCCAGCTCTCGCACACGGAAGATCGCTAGGGACCGCCAAAAGGACTGCCGAAGACGTACTTAAGACCGCCGAGCGGCGCCGAGAAGCGCCGAAGGCCGATGGATTCGAAGGGCTCCGTTGTCGAACACTTGACGCCGAGGTGATCCACCATGCGGAAGTTTTTTTTTTGCGCACCGCTGCAGTCCCCCAAGCCGAGTCCGAGTCCTTCCCTGCAGTTTTGAGCAATAAGTGTTTCGCATTCTGGATGCGGCATTTGGTTTATGACACGTCTGTAGACGATCGAATTTGGACAGCCGGTCGACAGCGCAGTAGGCGTCGCGGTCGATGCCTCTCCCCCCCTCCTCCTTCTCCTCCTCCTCCTCCTCCTCCTCCTCCTCCTCCTCCTCCGCCTGTCTTCTCCACATTATCATGCTTGCGCCTTTCTCGTTCCCCTCCACCCCGCGCTCATTCCCCTCTTCTTGCGATACTCCATCCCTCCCTGTACTCCTCGCGCTTCCTTCCCAGCTTCACCCATGATCACCATGCTTCTCTCCCTCCTGCTGCGCCTGGTCCGTGCTATGCGTCTCCTGCGTCTCGGCTTTGAGGAGCAGATGAGGGGGCGAGCAGCATCAGCAGAAACATTATCATCAGCAGCAGAAGCACGAGGAGGAGGAGGAGGGAGACAAAAGGAGGACAGAGGAGGACAGTGGAGGAGGAGGAGGACGAGGAGGAGGAGGAGGAGGAGGTGAGCAATTTGGTTCACCCGCCACATGTGCTGGACCCTTGATCTTAGTATCTTAGTATTCTCACTCCTGCGCCGCATCCCTTCTTCTCCCCCTCCTCCCTCGCCCTCCTCCTCTTCCTGCTCCCTCCCTCCCTCTCTTCCTGTCCTCCATCGCTCTTCCCGCACAGTGCCTCCTCCCCTGGCGCGGCTCCATGGGTGTCGGCGGGGTGGGCCGGGCGTTCCGCCTGAGGCGTCCTCGCCGCTCATGATCCTGAGGCTCGGACATCTGCAACGGGTTCAGGGAGGAGGGGGGGTGGTTTCCAAAATGCGGCTTTCGCCTTCGTGCCGCGCGCACTCCCCTTGAACGTGCTCAACAGCTTCAAGGACGGAGGGGCTCGTTTTCAGAATGTCGCTTTCACCTGATCGCCGCGCACATCCGTCTTAGCATGCTGCAGCAGGTTCAAGGGTGGAGGGCCACAGAAAGGTTCAAGGGTGGAGGGCGGTTCTTTTTACATCCTGTGGGTCTTGCCTCACTGTCGCGCAACTCCGTCTTGAACGCTTGCAGTCAGTACAAGGATGGAGGGCGGCTCGTTCTCAGACTGTGGCTCGACTCTCTGTGTAGCGCCGCCCACTTTCGTTCTAGCAGACTGCTTCCTTCTCAGAACGAGCCTCTCGCCTGAGCGCCGTGCACATCCTTTTTCTAAGATGCTGCAGCAGCTTCCAGGGTGGAGGGCGGCTCCTTCTCAACGTGTGGCTTTCGTCTGAGCGCTGCGCGCATCCGTCCTATAGCCCTGCAGCAGCTTCAAGGGTTGAGCTCGGGCCATCTTCCACATGTGGCTCTCACCACAACGCTGCGGCACATTGTTTACGCAGCAGGTGGAAGGGTAAAGGTCTGCCCCTTTTCGACATGGGGTTCTCGCTCGAGACTTCTATGAGTAAGTCCCGTCGCTTCATACCACGTAACACTGCACTGGCACAGAGCGCGCTTAATCTGAACGGAGTTGTTGTTTGCGATTTCCTCTGGGTTGATGACAACAGGCGTCAACTGGTACAACAGTTGCACGGATGGGGGCGATCCTTCTTCGAAAGGGGGGTACCGTTGGACACCTCGCCCCATCGTGTGATCGTTCGCAGTCCTGGGTGCGCGCCATGAGGGATGCAAGTCAGTTCCTTTCAACAGCGGGTCCCCGTCCGATATGGCAGGCAACGCTGCGCTGGCCCTCCAAGGGGAACGCTTCCTGCAGCGAAGGGGGACATCATGCAGGAGGTGCGAGGAGGGGACTTGGGACGGGAGGGCGCATCGCAGCATCGCTGATGCATCATGTATTCTCGCTGCTCCTCCTCCTCCTCCTCCTCCTCCTCGTCCTCCTTCTCGTCGTCCTCCTCCTCGTCCTCCTCCTCGTCGTCCTCCTCGTCGTCCTCCTCCTCCTCGTCCTCCTCCTCCTCGTCCTCCTCCTCGTCCTCCTCCTCCTCTCACCAGCAGGCGGCCCGCACCGACCGCCGCCGACTGGAGGCCCGCCCGTGCCGCCCGCTTGTCCACCGCGCCGCGTTGAGCCTCCCACCGACGACGCAGGCGGCGCGGCGAGGCCCCCCTTGCCGAGGGGCTTGCGAGGGGGGCGGAAGGAGGAGAGGACTCCGCAGGCACGCTCGCCTCCCCCTCCTCCTCCTCCTCCTCCTCCTCCTCCTCCTCCTCCTCCTCTCCTCCTCCTCCTCCTCCTCCTCCTCCTCCTCCTCCTCCTCCTCCTCCTCCTCCTCCTCCTCCCCTTCCTCCTCCGCCGCCTCCTCCGCCTCCTCCTCCTCCTCCTCCTCCTCCTCCTCCTCCTCTTTCTCATCCTCCTCGTCCTCCTCCCCCTCCCCCTCCTCCCCTCCGCTCCTCTATCCAGGTCCCCCCCCCTCGCCGGCGCGACGCCCGCCAGGCAGAGATCCGCGACCCGTGGAGCGGCCTGGAGAACCCTGAGGCCGAGAGGGGGGGATCAGAGGCGGGAGAGATGGATGGAGCAAGGACGTAGACGATGACGAGGAGGACGAGGAAGACCAGGAGAAGGACTAGGAGGAGGAATACGTAACTGGATGGTGATGATGCTGATGATGATGATGATGATGATGATGATGATGATGATGATGATGATGATGATGATGATGATGATGATGATGATGATGATGATGATGATGATGATGATGATGATGATGATGATGATGATGATGATGATGATGATGATGATGATGATGATGATGATGATGCTGATGATGATGATGATGATGATGATGATGATGATGATGATGATGATGATGATGATGATGATGATGATGATGATGATGATGATGATGATGATGATGATGATGATGATGATGATGATGATGATGATGGTGCTGCTTATGATGACGATGCTGATGCTGATGCTGATCTTGCTGATGATGATGACGATGATGACGACGATGAGGCTGACGGCGAGGGGGAGGAGGAGGAGGAGGAGGAGGAGGAGGAGGAGGAGGAGGAGGAGGAGGAGGATGAGGAAGAGGAGGAGGAAGAGGCGGAGGAGGCGGAACAGGGGCGGGATGGCGTGGAGTTCTTATGACCATTTTCCTTATGAGCAGTTTCTCCGTGTCGCACCCCTAGGTAGACGTGTCGCTCGAGACTTCCTCACCATCCGTGATCCCGAAGCCTGACATTCGCAACAGCAACAAAGATGGATGGAGGTGGTCGTTTCCAAATGTGGTTTTCGCTTTAGCGCCGCGCGCATTCGTCTTTACAATTTGCAGCAGTTTCAAGGACGAAAGGCGACACGTTTTCAACATTTGGCTCCCGCATCAAGGCCGCCCGTATTCATGTCAAAAGCTTGCGACGTATTGAACATGGGGCTCTCGCTTTGGCGCCGCGCGCATTCGTTTTAACATGTTGCAGCTGTTTCACGGACATGTACGATTCACGACCCAGGAACGGCTCTTCTCCCCTTTGGGGGGCGGCCTCGAGGTTGCGAAGGCATTCGCGCTCTCGCGCTTCGCATTTCGCTCGGCTCTGCTTCCTCCTCGTCCTCCTCTTCTCCCCTTGGGGGGCGGCGCGAGAGCGCGAATTGATCCGCGCTCTCGCGCTCTCGCGCAGCGCGAAAAGCGCACAGTGGGGTGCCCTTGCTTCCCCTCCCGTCTCGGTCCCGCTGCGCGTCCCTCCTTCCTGCAGAGATTAGGAGGGGAAACACACAGACACAAATAATCGTCGAATTCCCAGGAAATCTGGGAAACTATGGTAAGTGGGGGAAGACGGAAAATCCATAACATATTACACAACATGGTGAATCCTGGAAGTTGTGTGCATTGACTTGTATGTCTCTGGGCCCCTCTCAGGGATCTGCACTGCCCTGGACAGGTGATGCAACTTGACTCGTCGATTTGCTTGCTCTTGTCGCCTTCGGCTCTCCGTAGTCTTGGGCCTCCGGAGACAGTTCTTCGGGCCTGGGGGCCGTCAGAAACGCACCCGGGATGAAGCACTATCCCCAGGGCGGTCGCGCAGACGATTCTTCGACGCGACCTGCAAAAGTGCCATTGCTTTTCTCCAGGGGGTGTAGCCCCCCCCCCAGGGGCTCCGATTTGGCTCCGCCCCGGGGGGTTGCTCCTTGCCCTCCCGTCCACCGTAGATCCCGCTTGTGAAGTGCCACTTGGGACCGTGATTTGTTCAATACGCGGTCCTACGAAGTCCCGATCCATTCCCCAGGACCCGTTTTTCATCCCGAGTCGTTTCCTGACGGCCCCGGGGCCTGGCGAGGGCCCCCAGAGGCCGAAATCTTAGAAAAACCTCCGTCTTGATTTTTTCAATGCGCGGGATCTCTGGGGTGTCCTGCCCCTCCTCCCGGAACCCCCGCGTGGCAGGAGCTCCGCGAGAAGACGGAGCAGGACCTGGTGATCAACCAGGTCTGGCTCAAGCCGCGGGTGGCGGCCAAGGAGACGCCTACACCTCCGGCGGAGAGGCTGCAGGATCAGGGACGACGTTGCGCTTTGAAGTCGGGCCCGTCCCTCTGCAGGAGGAATTTTGAAACAAAGGAAACGAATGGTCGGGGAAGATTTTTTGACGATTTTTGAATATTTTGGAGTATGTTTTGACCATGTTTAATTTTTCGTCCCAGATCCGCCTCTAGGGGGCCCGACCTGACGTTACGCTCGGGGGTCGATTTTCAATGTTTTCGGACGTTTCGATTGCTTCTCGGCGGCCGTCCAGCCTCGGGATGCTCTCCAGCGGCTGCGCCTCGCCTAGAGCGTTCCGAGGGTGCCCGGATCGCCCCGAACGGGCGCCGGAGAGCCGAGCTAGATGGCCCGAGAGCCATCGGGGACGGGGATAGGCTCAGGGGGGAACGCATCTAACCCCAATCGCCCGTTGATCGCCGATATGGGCCTGATAGCCCTCCCAGCCGAGGAGCATGCGGATTCGCTATCGGCGGGGGCCTATCGCCGATCAATCGGCGATGTGCCGCCGATTTCTGGGAAGAGCAGGATGAAGAGCCCCCAACGTTCCCCCCCTCAAGGAAGAGCAGGAGGAAGAGGAAGAGGAGGAGGAGGACGACGACGAAGACGGCGACCACGATGACGAGGACAAGGAGACCAAGCGGGACGAGGGCCGAAAAGGAGGAGCCCGTGCTGCATCCCTCGTCCGTCACCCTGGTCGCTTCCCTGCTGCTTTGTCC